TTTAAAAAAAAAAAAAAGAAATCCTTCTTAATATTCCTTAGGCTTGATGTATCTGCAGTTGCTTTTTCCCTCAAGTATTTATCTTTCAGATACACCTGAAGGATTAACACATGAAGATTGAGATGGCTTTAAAATATCTTAGCAGGTGGACAGACACGAATGGTCATGTGATAACCACGGTTGAAACCCGCTAATTAGTATACAAAGCTTTATTATACTCATCTACTTTTTGTACACGGTTGGAATAAAAATGTATCCTATGTGTCAAAACATCCTGCCAAAAGCAGAGAAATTTTTGTCCCACTAAGTCACCCAGAAGTCTGCTTATTTTCTCTCATTTACCTGGTCTGATTAACAAGTTCTAGTCTGCAAGCCAATTAACTTCTTCCAATAGATTTGTAGCTGAAATACAAGACTCACCTTGGTGTCTTTTAATTCCACTCATCAGTGGTGTCAGGTGAGCAAACAATCCAGGAATTATAATTAGTAATCTTACTTTAACTTCAAGACTTGGTACCCATTTTAAGTCAAAATGAACTATCAGAGGTTGTTGTTTTTGGTTTTTGTTTTGTTTTGTTTTTTTAATTTACCTTACTCTCCCCTAGTATTTGAACTAAGTTTGGTGAGTGGTTTACAAAGGTGAAATGTAACAGATGTTCACTCCCAGGGAGTAAACTTTGAATGAGAAGAGTAAGAGGATTCAATAGAATGTGACATACGGAAATGTTGCAAAAATCTCGGGGTACGTAACTCCACATACACCCGTACACTCCTTCCCCCCAAAAGCCTTTCAAGTGGTTAGAAAGGAGAGACCTTGGTTGGTTGGTTTCGTCTCCTCCTCCTTTCTTAAGGGGAGGTGCTAAAGAGCAAGGAAATCACCAAAAGACGGGCCGGAAGAAGGAAAGCGAAAAGCACGGAGTCTGGACAACCAGACCTTAAATAATTGGGAACTGTAAACAAATTAAATGAGGTTAAGAGGCGGTTACCTATTAAACACCTCCCTGTAACTCCAACTCACCTGAGCGGCTCTGAGTTTAAAAAACCGAGCTGTAGGTACACTCTCATTCGAACTCCCCTCTCTCTTCAAGTATTCACAGGTACAAAGGCACTGAAAGAACTCTTCCTGACCCCCGCCAGTAACAGCGCCACAAAAAAAACTCTCACGCTGGCCGGGGCCACTCTGGCCAGGCTGTCCCCGACCCAGCGAAGCCACGCGAGTCCCTCCCCGTAGGGCAGGGAACCCCAAAACCACTGCCCCGCTCCTCAGGCAAGACATCCCTCTTCCCAGGCCGGGCGAGGGGTAGCGGCGGGACCAAACCTCGACTGGAAGAACCCGCCCGCCGCCGAGGCCCTCCGCACCCGCCCGGAACTGGGGTCTTGGCCCCAGGCCGCCCATTCTGGACCCAGGCCCGGTGCCTCGTGGTGCCGGGCGCGAGCCTCACCCCCCGGTCCACCCCGCGCCGGCGAAACCCGCGCGAACCACTGAGCTGCGCCCGACGCCACCGTGCGGACCCAGTCACTGGGTACCTGTCTTCGCTCTTGTTTTTCTGCTTCTTCCCCATCGTGTGTCAGCGGCGCTCGTAGCCCCAGCCCCTCTATTCGGTCTCTCACAGACCCACTGTCCCCCAGCCGACTTTGGTCTCTTTTCGGCTCGGCTGCCCTCGCACTGCCGCCTCTCGCACCCGGCTCTCCACAGACCCGCGCACTGGGACAGGGCACATATGGTGTGAGCTCTCAGTGCGCAAGCGCATCGCCCCGCCGCCTTGGCGTGGGGACGCAGGGCGCGGCTCATCGAGAGCTGCGCTTCGGGTAGAGCGTCTCCAGTTGACCAGCCGGCCAGGCGGGAGCCCGAGCGCCCCCTTTCCGCAAGCGTCCGCCGCGCAAGGATAACAGCGGGGTTTCCTGGTTCTAGAACCCTGAGACAGACAATGAGGCTGAAAATTCCCCTTGTCAGCTCCGTCTCTGGGGAGAACGCAAACTTGGAGTTTTGGAGCTCGGCTCAGAGGTAAGCCTTGGGCTTTCCTTCCACCTCTGTGTCTTTGTATTCTCAGCCGCACGCAGTTCAGTAAAGAAACACAATGAACCAGTGATAGGCACTCTAGGTAATAAATCTAGGACAAATTGGGACTCTCAGTAACGTCCATGAATTATGAAGTCTGTTCAGTCTCTAAAAAATAATTACCATGGGGCGCCTGGGTGGCTCAGTTGGTTAAGCGACTGCCTTCGGCTCAGGTCATTATCCTGGAGTCCCTGGATCGAGTCCCGCATCGGGCTCCCTGCTCAGCGGGGAGTCAGCTTCTCCCTCTGACCCTACCCCCTCTCATGTGCTCTCTCTCATTCTCTCTCTCTCTCAAATAAATAAATAAAAAATCTTTAAAAAAAATAATAATTACCATGAACAAAACAAGGACACACCCCTTAGTTCCCCGAAATAGAAATTAATCTTTACATTCAAAGTGAGAGCAAGATCTAAGAATTTGTGTTAGGGAAGTCCAAAGGGAACCAACCTACTGGGTGGTAAACATGTTTAATATCTGGATCCGGACAGTGATACTACGGGTGTTAAGTATGTAAAAACTAATCATGCTGTGTAAGTTATACCTCAACTTAAAAAAAAAAAAAAAATCTGTTCATTAAACACGATGGAAGCGAAGTTGGAGTGTCACTCCAGAGCAAGATCGTAGCTATCTCTCGTTTCTGATGTAACATTACGTGTACTGAGGCTCGGAGCCTAAGGAAGTCCCGACTCGGCCACGCTGAGCACTGATAAACTACAACCTCCAGCATACTTTGCTCCCTCCCCCGTTGGCCGTTTATCCAGAACGAGGCTGAGAATCGGAAATATCGGGTGGAGGATGGGAGCTGCGCACGCGCAGAAGCGCTCACCGAACGCACGCCCTTCCCCCCCCCCGCCCCACTTCCTCGGGCGTCACAGGTTGTATCGCGTGAGGGCCGCAGCCAAAGGGGTGGCGGAAGTGACGGCGGGTTCGCAGCCACCGGCAGCTGCTGCGAGGGTGAAGCCAGAGTGGACTGCCTTTCTGGAGCAGTTAGTTCTTCACTTCTCAGGTGTCACCGAGAGCTCAGGTGAGGCAGAGGATGGTGTGGAAAAATTGGCCACCGCCTCCCGGTGCTGATGAACACTTCACTTCACCACTCAACATCCGGCCAGGGCGGGGGAGGGGCGCGGCCCAGACGTCGGTGTCAGTGAAGCGGAGGCGGCTTCGGCGCATGCGCTCCGGGGGTTGTTGCCCACGGGGCCACCTGAACTCCGCCTTGGTCGGTCCCTATGGGCTCAGGGAGTGGCGAGGAAGCTTTTCGGAAGGTACCTCGAGCGCAGTTCAGGTTGTTTTGGCGGGTGCATGTAAGGGAGTCAAGGAAGCGGTTAGGTAATTTGAGGACAAGCCCCTTCCCACTGTTCCCGATGAACTGTAAAGAGGAAGAATCAGGTTTGTGGTTTGAAGAATGAAAAGTTATCGGGATCGCTACACCATCTCCTCTCCCCTTTGTGAATGCGGTGACCACCACCACCTGTCTCCAGAACAGCTCTTGTTATTCGCTTCTGTTCCCAGTTATCCCAGAATTAAATTCTGAGTTTATCTCATAAAACTCCAGGGATCAGCATCCACTATACCTCTGGTAAGAACAGGTTCTGACATGTAAGTCAGTGTCTCAGTAACCAGTTTTCTGCCTCATCCGGCTCCAACCCTAAGGGAAACAGTCTCACTGACATTTTTCTATGGAGGTAGGAAGTGTGAAATTATTTTATCATATTTGAAATACGATTCCTTGAAAATGTATAGCATTTATGAGGAGCTTACAATTTGGTTTTTTAAACTCAAATACTTTTGAAACTTAAGGATAATTTGAACAGAAAGTAGGCATATGTTCATTCAAAATTACAAATTTTTTTTTTAAAGATTTTTTTTTTTTTATTTGTCAGAGAGAGAGAGTGCTGGGGCAGAGGGAGAAGCAGGCTCCACGCTGAGCAGTGAGCCAGATGTGGGACTGGATCCCAGGACTGGGATCATGACCTGAGCCAAAGGCAGACACTTAACCGACTCAGCCACCCAGGCGTCCCAAAATTAACAAATATATTTTGAGCACTTGCTGTGTTCCAAGCACTGCTAGCTCTGGGGATACAAAGATGAAATCAGTGCATTTCAACTGCTTTTCCTGTGAAGAAAAAAGAATCAAAAGTGAAGTTTGCAAGAAGACTACTTCTTTTCAGTTCAACAGTTGTAGAGGGTTTGTGTGGGCCAGGCTATATGTCAGTAATTGGGTCAGTGAGTTCACAGTTTATTAAGATTTTTTTTTAAGGTTCTTCAGTAGTGGTTGCAACTGTGTCGTAGTTACTTGAATGCAACAGCTTCTTGCTTTCATAAGCAAATTATAAATTATATTTCTGTAGTAATACATAAAATTTCCATCTGATTGTTCCTGACAAAATACTACATCTTATAAAATGTGTAATTGAAAAGAGCTTCGTTTTATCTGAATTAGATTCTGTTTTTAAACTCCTGTGTTACATAAAGGATCAGTATTTTTAACATTTGGAGTGGTATTGTTTTACATCAAAGTTAAGAACGGTGTCAGTAGATCCATACCAGTATCAGTCTTTGTAGCATTATAGATTTTGTTAGGTCATAGAGAACAGCAGTGAAAACTAAAGTTTAGGGAACACCAGGCACTGTTCTTTACATAAACTGTAAAGCACTTTCTCAGGAGTTAAATGAAAATCATTTAGTAGAAACTTTGAAAAATATATTTTTGGCTCAATTCTGTTCTGTATTGAAGCAAAATTTGTTTTGTAGATGTATGTAAAACCTCACTGTAGTTAAACTTCACTATTATTCAGTCATTTCTGCTTTATTTTTCTTCTGGTTTAAAAAAAGAAACACTGTTAATATATGTCATTAGGTAGAACTCCAACTACCCATTTCTCTGTGGTCTTAAAGACTCCTCTTTGTTTTATTGTAATGAAACAAACTAAATCAGAAGCACCTAAACCTTGCTGTAAGTAATCTTTTGAGTGGTGTGACTATAACCTATGGAAAATTCAGTTTTAAAACATTTCAGTAAGGGGCATTTGGGTGGCTCAGTCAGTTTCTTGATTTCAGCTCAGGTCATGATCCCAGGGTTGTGAGATCTAGCCCCAAATCGGGCTCCTTACTGAGTGTGGACCCTGCTTAAAATTCTCCCTCTCACCCTCCTCCCCTTCCCTCTCTAAAATAATAAAACATTTAAGTAAAAATTCTTAAAGGTAACATGAAATGCTTGGTTGTCAGCAGAACGCTTTGTGGAGGACAAATTATACAGTTGCTAGAATTTTTGTAAATGAGATAGGAAACTTTACTTGCCTTTTTCCCCCCCCCCCCAACTTTCCAACTTTCTCCCTAGCACCAAGGCTGAACTATACCATTTAGAAGAATGGAAGCTAATGCATCTGTTGACATGTTTTCA